CGGGATGGGGGAGCTAAGGGGGGCGTCCGGCTCCGGCTCGGTGATGCTCCCCGCGGGGATGATTAACCCTTCGGTGCCGATCCGCAACATCCGGATGAAATTCGCAGTGTTGATTGGACTCATACAGGTCGGAGAGGTCAGCAACAGGGACATCGTGGAGACGGTGCTCAACCTGGTAAGGAAAAAGCGTGCTCTCCATCTGCTTCCCCAGTCCCCACATCCACCGTCCCTAGCGCCTTTCGCTCCCACCCGCCACCCCCAGGGTCACACGCGCCGCGCGTCCCTGGGAGCACAGAGCGTTCAGCCGGTATTGCCCAGCGGGTGACCTGCCTGCGCGCTGCCGGAACCACGCCACCTCCCTCCTCTCCTCTTTCTGGTCCTCTCCTGCCACCTGAGCGCAGTGCCCAACTTAACACCGCTTCTTATCACTTTTTAGGACCACGAGTAAACCAGTCCCCGCGGTGAAGGTTTTGGGTCGACTTTAGAGTTTAGTTAGGAGGTGAGGAGGCCTCCTGTTCTCTGGGGTTCTTTTTCTCACACTCTTTATTGTCCGTGGTGTCGCTCTCGGAGGATGACAGCCTTGCCCCTGGAGCCTAAATTCCCCCGTGCTGCTGAGATGTGAGAAGCACATTAGCTTCCGACTTGAGCAGCTGGGGTGTGATGTTTTCGAGGGAGACAGAAAATGATGCAGTTTTGCATCTGTCTTTAAATATTCCAAGGCCATGATGGAGAGTGTTGTGTCTATCCATCCCCCTCCGTCTCTGAAGCAGCCGTCCCTTCTTTGTAATGTTGCCCTGAATATACTGATTTCTTAGTCATTTTTTGTGCACACAAGGTGTGTGAGGACACCAGATCATACAGGTTCATTTCTGTGGTTACCTTCAGTAGCGTGGCATGTGGGTAAAGACTAAAGGAAAGGTTTGAAACGCAGCCCTAGGTTTTGGTTTCTTTCATGATAAGAAAGAGTTACTGCAGAAGTGTGTATGACTTAATGTTTTGCGCTATCTACAGAGAGGCTCAGAAGCGTTTAAGATGTCAGGGAAAGAAATGGAAAGAAATAAGGAGATGAGAATCATAAATCGAGGAAAATTAACAGTAGTTCATATTTAGTGCTTTGTAAATGGAGTTTTTTTTTTTTTTTTCCCCCTGCAGCCAAGCTTTTTAAACAGTTTTCTCTGCAATATCTAGTCATTGACATACTGAAAGGTTGGGCTTTGGGAGGCAAGACATAAATCGGGAGCAATCAGTTGAGTATTGTATTTGGTGTGGAGTCACAGGAACATAACAGTATGCTTACAGGGGTGCTTTGTACACCCATGCAGTCATTTTTCAGCTAAGCAATTATTTTTACTTTATTGGAAAACTGAGAGAAAGCCGCAGCTACACCACTGGTGTCCTGAGACATGCATTAGATAATGTCTACGGTTTATGAACCTCCTAAATGCACAGAAAAGTTGAAGCTGTTTTTTTCCTTTTGCTAGTGTGTCAGGTCAAAGGAGATTATCTGTCTTCGTTATATTCATTGTTGTTTAAAAGAAAACACCTGTTTTTACTTCTGTGTGCTTTTCAAATAAATCATCATGAAAAGTCAGTGTAAGTTTGAGGGAATGTCACTAAGTTGGTATAACCAAGTTCTTTTCAGGGCACTACTGGAAATACGGTTTTCTTGAGTTTTAATTTTAACTAGTTGCAAATAAGAGGTCAGTACTTGCCATTTCTTTTTAAAAGAAGATAAATGAAATCTCCAACTGTTAGTATGTTAGCAGGTAACTGTATTTCTGTAATTTAAAGGAACACATTTTTAGTCCCAGTTTTGATCTAACCAATATCATTTTTATGTTAGATTATATTAGGCTATTTTAGTAAGTATTCCTATGCTTACTTAATACATTTTAACCTGGTAAGAGGCAGTATAGCTTTCACAACCTGGAAACTGATTTGAATATATAACCAGTTTGGACTCTGCAGCAGTAGCAATGCATGCTGAATCAGTTCTTAACAGATGGGGTTTTTTAGATAGACGGTAGACTAAGAAAGGAAGTGAAATGTTTTTCTTGAGATGAAAAAGAAATTTAACTCTTCAGAGCAGTAAAAATCTGGCATGAAGTTTCAGTATGCAGACATTATTTCAGAGAACTTTGCCGTTAAGCTTAGAGTCACTAGAAATAAAGTAATACTGAGATAGTGTATCCCAAATCTACTTAAGACTTTGTAACTGCAATGATATTTTAAATTTAAAGAGGTTTAAAATTTCTTTGTATGTATTTAAAGAATGCAATAGATTTTTCAATAGAAACTTTTGGGGAAAAGAATAAATGACAAAAGGAGCTGTTTATTGCTAAGTTGTTAATTATATTAATTACGGAATATAAATTAGTCATTTGAAGTGCAATATTTCTTGAACTGTAGATTTAGGGCTTTATTGTGCAGTACACTCATGAAAATGTCATATGAAAATTTAGGTGGATTCTCAAAAATGTGGAAGTCATGGGCGTTTAAAAAACGAATTATCAAACTTAATTCTATTTATGTAATAAGTAAACCAGTAAAATCCATATAGGACACTCAGTGATTCGTTAGAGTTTGGAAACCTTTAATATTAAATCTAAAATGAATTTTTTAAAAATTTTCAGTTTTAATTTAACACTTTAAATAAAAATGTAAGGTAAAATAGTGAAATACCTATTACTGTGTCCTGAATGACAGAAAAAAAAGAGCTAATGAAACTTAAAAAAAAAAAAAAAAAAGGAGTTTCTACCTTAAACAATACCCTTGTCTCAGTCACCTTTGTCAGTATATTTTTCTTTGTTTTCCTGTATATTTTTTCTTCCTATGTGAGGATACTCATAAATACTTGGTTTCTAGGTGCTATTTCTCACATGCCTTGGCCAAAGAATTAAAAGCTGGGCAGAGTGAAGTTTAAGCATGCAGTAAAGTGTAGGACTTCTTCAACAGAGCAGTGGCTGTAATTTTTCTGCTTTGTTTCCCAAAGGTCTAGAGACCCATTTTTACTACTAGGTGGTTTGTGGGAGTTTGGTGAAGAATCACCAATGTGATATGCAATAAAATGAGTGATTTTTATTAGAGATGTATGTATTTTGTATAATGATGTTATAGTTGACTTAAAACATTGAAATATGGAATGGATAATGTTAGGAAGATAGGTAAATTAGTTTGTGAATAAAATTACAGTCTGTATTGTCAAGGATTTTGCATTATAGCTCTACTAATGAAAGAAACTGATCGTTAACAAACTTTGGCTTCTGGAGGAATTATTTAAAGTGGCAATATAAGAGAATTTAACTATAGAGAAGAGATTTTGTTGATTGTTTTCAGTTGTAAAGCTGGCATACTCCCTAATCAAACTAATCTATTCTTTTGTAAACACACTTAACATATGTTTACATAAGCTTTATTCATATTTGAAGTAAAAGCTATGTAAATATGTGTTATCGTTTATAACATGGAAGTTTCTTTTATAAACATAAATTTCTAGAAAAATATATTTATAATAGAGGATTAATATTTACTTAGTGAAAGAATTCATAATTTTTTTGGAGTGGCTTTCTTATGTGTTATAGTATAATTCTATGATTATAATTATGGAATTATAGACTTGAAGATTTTTTATGAATAACTGAATTCATGAAATTTTTTTCATGAAATTTTTTCATGGATTTGTAATTTTTTTCATGAGTTACTGTGAGTTGTATCAGTGTGTCTAGTTGTAGAAAATGATATTTCCTCCGATTATTTTTTTACACTCTAAGTGGCATGCTGTTGGCTGAGCTGGAAACCTGACAGGATGCTTTGAGGGGATATGTGGTTTACTAAGTTTCTTTCATCTTGGCTTATGGATCATGGTATTTTTGTTAAAAGAGTAACTTCAAGGTGTTTTTTGTACTTGAATATGGCAGTAACTCTTCTTCCTTAGAGTTTTTTTTTTAAATTTTGCAGATTGATAGTCATAATTTTCGTTTTAAAGATATTTAGAATTTTACAAAGAAGGTGTCTTCTGCATTTGAATTATATGTATTTTAAAAATACACAGTTGCATCTTAGAATCATAGAGGTCCTTAATACTAATAAAACCACATTTATATTAAAATAATTTCATGCATTTTAATTTATGTTGGTATGTAAGCCTTTTCATATTAATTTGAATTGTATTTTATTCTCATGATTGGGTATGGAAAATAAAATTCAGGATTCACATGTAAATGCTCGGAGTTTCAATATCTTAAGGAGTTTTGAGATTTTCCATAGAAAATTTAGTCATCTAATGACACTAAGGCAGCAAATATTCTATAGTCTATTATCAATTTATATTAATTTTAAATAAATGTTTTGCGTATTGCTAGCTGCTTTTTGGCAAATACTGTGCTGTTAATTAAAAATATCTCAAGGTTCTTTACTCTTTTGCTATGCTTTTCCCAGACAGTGTGGAAGAATTTATTGGGTCTAACAGACTTAGCCCCCATTTTGTGTCACTGGTATAGCTGTATTATAAAATTCAGTCATCTGTGTGTTTTTTTTTTTTTTTCTATGTACGGAACATATTGTTATGCATTAGTTCCAGGTTTTCCATTTCTTGTCTTTAAACAATGTCAGCATATCTCTTTGGCATCACATATCACCCTGTAGCGTTGCAGTTATTTATGTGTGTTTCCCTTCCTAGGCTGTGAACTCCATGAGGGCAGGAACTGATTTTATGTATCTTTATTTTTTGTATTTCTAGGCCTTGGATAAGTTAAGTGCATTTGTAGTGTGCATGACACTATCATAGGCAGTAATGATTATGGTCAATTTCTGAAGTTATGTTCAACATTACGGTCCAGACCTAGGATCCTGAAATAAACTCATATATAAACTCAACTCATATAAACTTCATGTATTTCTTATTCTTCAAACTAGAAATATGTGTTCAATGTGTATAATATTACCTGGCTGTGTAGGCATTACTGCATTTGTAGATGTTATTTTGAACTGACATCCGTTAATAAGTTAGAATCTGGTAAAAACTTTTCAGTAAACTTTTATTTATAATCAAATATAATCACATAACAAGGTCATGTTGTTAACAAAGAAAATACATAATGCATTGAAGAGAAATTATAGAAAATACTGTAAGCATTTGTCATATTGCCAAGAATAGTGAATTTGTTCTTGTGTGTG